CAACTCCTACTGTTCAAATACCTACGGAGTCCAACTAACAAGTGTGATGCAGAAGATTAAAACAGTAGCGTTTGACATAATTGCTATTAGACATCCCTAAATGGAAATATAATTTCATTAGTTCTACTCAGAATCATTATCTTTTTTAAAGTAACAGGTACCATGCAGTCTTCTTATAAGTGCCAGTAAACCCAAAATTATTTTTAAAGGCTTTTACTGTGTGCCAATGGTGATCTATCATATCTAAAATATCCTATTTTGCATGAGAGACGCTACAATTTTACCACTTTGTTATAAACACTTAAGTAGAGAGGAAGAAAAGCAATTCAAATGCTCAGCTTGATTTGGTGTAACAACTAGCACAAGAAGGAAAACTGTTAAGCTTTCCCCATAGATTATGTTGTGACGGAAGGGTACTGCACATTCACACAGCATCTTCCCTCTTACTCTTCTTCTTACCCCAAAAATTACCAGGGCTTTTTTTTTTTCTTCCCTCCACTTAAATAGATGCACAAAGTACATCAACAAGACATGCAGCAATGCAAGTTCCAGCAATGCAATAGAAGTTTAACAATGTAGCTGATAGGAATACATTTCCTCTCTCCCTCTAGGGCTCTCTGAGGAACCTGAAATCTGGCAGACCAAGTCTAAAATGAGAGATGATCAGGCAGTATTTAATATATGTACAGTGTTTGTACTGTGACACGCTTTTGAATTAAGTTGTATATGGAGTTGACATAATAGATGGTGTCTGACAACACGGTTATCTAAAAGCTGCGTGAAGACGTATTTCACAGTGCCCTGAATCTGTCAGATAATTCCTTCAAAATAATGCTGGCCTTGAGCTTGAAACATGGTTCAAAAGTCATGAAAGTTGAGGTCACCACTCCAGTCTTTTCTCCCCTTTCAAATTGGCAACTCTAGTTGTAGTTGAAATGGTTGCACTTCCGACACAACTGTACTCATTTAGAAAACAAATATTTGTAGAATAAGTACAATTTTTTGAGTGAAAAATACTGTGTAACAATCAACCCTACCATTATCTCTTTTAAATAAAATCAGGTTTTGCATGTCTTATGTGGCCATGCCAACTGTAAAATGCTCTTGAAACATTCACTGCACACCACCAAAACCTTAAGGAATTTTTCTTTCCAATTAAACCACAACAGAAAAAAAAAAACTTATCTTTAAATCCCTTTCAACAGCATAGCCATCCTACTCAGAAGCTGTATAGAGATAACTAAGCTCCTTAATTCCCTCCTTTTAACCCACTCCTGAAGACTGATGTTCTAATGAGATATCATTAGAAGATTCTATCCTTTGATGTAAAGTGTTAGAAATGATTACGCAAAACAGTCCAGGCTAAAACAGACATTTAACTCTTGTACAACTGGTTAACACAATGCAGCTTTGGAGTTTGTGTACTTTTCTACAACAGACAAGGTACTGAATGACAGGTCTGCCTCCAGGCAGGTCAGAGAGATCAAAATAACCCACCCAAAGAGCAGGAAACCTTTCTGCAACTGTTGGGATAGCAGAAACCCAGACACCATAAAAGTTTCTAAGTCTGTCAGCTGGTTCAGCACTGATGAATTATTTTTTCTTTGGCTGCCTGGCAGTAAACAAAAGATAATCTTGCACCTCAACAATCTAGGCACTAAATGTACAGGAAAACTTATCTCCTGACTTAGGACATAAGATGACAGGCAGAGCTGGTGAAAATAAAGATGCACTGCCCTAAGAGCCAAGGGCAGCAACTCTAAGTGCAGCAGGATTTTTAACACCCAAGCAACTCTACCTCTTGGCGCTAGCAGTTGATTTACCTGCTTTGCCAGACACAGATGTCACAGTGGGGAAAAAATCTCCCTTGGACAGTGTAACACTGAAAAGAAACTTAAGACCACACCAAACATTCTTATTCATTCTGTCTTCTTGACACATATGAAAATAATGTCTAAATCAACTTACATCTAATTAAACTAATCCTCAGGTGCTTGTTTCCGGTTCACCTTAAAATAATTTCTAAGAAAACAGTGGAAGTGTCCACACACAACATCCTCTTAAGAACTAATCTTTGAAATTCTTTAATAAGTTTAAAAACCCACACAGAAACAAGATGAAAACAAGACAAGCAAACAAACAAATCCAAATACAAACCGGCCATGAATATGTCAAAAGATTATTTCCTGGTCACCGTTCAGCCAGCAGGTTGAAATGCAGCAGCACCTTCATTTAAGCATTGAGTTTTGCAATTAAACACCACAAAGTGCCAAAGCTAAAAGTTGGGAGGGAAGCCTTACCATGGCCATTTCTGAACTTAAATGAAACATATTCAAGTGGAAAGCTCTGCCACTACAGCTGCTTGTGGAAAGTTCACCTCAGTTAGGTCTGTTTATAATAACATTCAAGTCCTGACTAACTCTATTTTAGTCAAATGATAATAGATAACTACATTAAATGAAGAGGGAACTGCTGACGCAACTGTATCAATACAAGAACTTAACCTTTTCATTTCTATATGCAGGCTAATTGCAACTACTTCATTATATTTAAATGACTTTAACAGTGATGTAACACCACACTCCATAAATAAACAGTGCTGCAGTGTAATTTTTTGTTTTTCAAACAGCACCCCAAGCAGTCTGAAGGGCTTCACACAGAGCAAGTGCAACATCCAAATAGGAGGCAAGCCTTAAAGATGTTAAAGCTTGTTCAGCGGAAAGTTTCCCCATCACTGCATTTTCCAGTAACAAAGATGTTGTCAGAAATGACAATTTTTCGTGTCCCCTGATGATGCCTTGCTAGCATTTGGTTATAAGCCATAAAGCAGGAATAATTTCAGCCTGTCAGGAGTCTAGCTAATGCCCAGTTTTCCCCTAGAGAGAATTCCTGTCAAATGTAATGAGAGCTCCAAAGGCCCTCTCTACAACATAACGAGCACTTAGGCCACGCTGGTGATCAGCCAGCAAAAAGCATCAATTTGAGCCTGGCTACACCCTTGGGGGTAGACATCACCAGTTAATAAGAATTATGATTACTATCTGTCAAAAGCCTCCTCAGAACTCATAGTTAGCTGTGGAAATTCAGAAGAATGTCATTGTTAGGCTTTTTTTCATTTCCTGTAATCTGAGACCACCTACATACTGAACTGCAACACCATTTGGCATCCTCACTGCAGGCATCTAAATCAAGAGTCTTTAATATAAAGGTGGTACTTTTACCAAAATTAGAATTACTTAACACGTAAAAGAACAGTATCTGAGACTCATATGCAGAGAAATGCACTTATGCATTAAAAAGCTTATTCTTTTCTTAACAGCAAACAGAGCAAGCATGCACTACTCTCCCCAACTAGAACCGACACCGGTATAATGCTCTGTCATAAATCTTATAAGCTTTCAAAGTATCATTGCATAACGGGTACATAATTATAGTTGCCATACACAGAGAACATTAAATCCTTACAATACACATATGTTCAGGTCAAAGTGGAAACCTCAGTTCTCACACACTTTGATCTTGTGGGTTTAATTGATTTTATCTAAAGTTAATTCCTAATGCATTGACTGAAGCAACACATTTTCTTCAAATATCTTCTGAAAATACCATCCATTTTGCAGCCAATGGGCTTCCTATACAGATGTTGGCTTTCTCACAGGTTACTGTGCGCCAAGAAGTTGTTAAGGAGAATAAATCCAAGAAAAAAATCTTCAAATAACAAAGCCAGGAAAAGTCACCACACAGAAAAACTGACACTGTTCTAAAACACAAGACAAAAAATTAGTTAAGCTACAACAGACAACAAGCCAAACACTACAATAGCTGTTTCATCTACCTATTTGGCTCACTACTTTAAAAAAAAATGAGGTTGTCATAATACTTCTTCTTTTAATGGCATTTTGCATTGAAAAAAGTGTACCTCCAAAAACCAAAAGAATACCTACCCTGTTTTGCAGACAGAAAGTTATCATGGAATTACAATGTCACCTTTCCAAACATAATATTTTTAGAGGAAAACAAAACAAAACAAAACAAAATCAAAGAGTTCAGAGTTACAAAAGCAAAATTCAATTCTGCAATTCACTTGCTTAATGAATGTCTTTGAATATACTGAAGATCTGAAGCCTGAACTAATCAATTTCTTCGCTGTGCCCTAGCCGGTCAGCCATGCTCTTTAATTTAATGAAACAAAGAGTTTTAGATGAAATAGCGCATACACATCAAGAAAGAATTGTATTGTTGCACACTGAAATGTGTCCAACTGTGCAACTTCATCTAATGATAATTTTTTTAAGAGGCCATCGATTTCTGAAAGACTTATTGTACTAGCATCTTGATGAAAAAGTGAATGTCAGCATATCTACAGAATACTTACACACTGCCATTAATGCTTTATTTGGCAGACAATGACTACTCAATTGAGGGTCCTCTGGGCTGAGCAATCATTTAGCTTTTCTTCTCTTATGAGGTCCTTAGTGTCTTGTTCCAGTTCAATACTCTTTTTATTCACCATTATAGTGGCCATAAGTGTGAATTTTATGGGAACTTGCAAACTCATAGTCATAACTAGAGCTTTCCAAGTCACTAATCTCTTCATACCTTTATATGGCAAGGATTTAAGCAACTATCACAATATATGCTGCACATGCATAAGATCAGTTCTACATATCAGAGTCTCTACCACTAACAAAAGAAAAACAATCCCCCCTAAAAAAAACCCTAAATTTGTAAAGTACTGAATTATATTTTTAAAACCACAGACACAAGACCCTTCCTACTTATGCCAGTGTCTTTCAGGACCACTACCATAAAGGCCTTGTTGCTCATCCTAATCTACACCACATTTGAGAGGAGGCAGGCAAAGTTTTACTAATCACAGCTACAAATTAGGCTATTGATTCAGACATATGATACCGTCATCTGAACATAAACAGCACAGCTACATTTAAATGCACTGGAGAAACTGCTGATTTTGCGGTTTAGAAAACAAAATGCCTTACCTGCTTGTGCATTTCAATGTTTAATCCATACGACATTTCATAATACTGCAAATAAATGAGCATACATTATTTTCTTATGCTGATTTACATTGTATTAGGAGATATTTACTGAAATAAAGATAAAACAAATACACTTACCATCACATAATGCCTCTGCATTTCTGTCTTTTCGCTTGCCAGTTTCTCACATTCCAATTTAAGGCTACAAAACAGATCACACTTTAATGTAACTTAGGCCATTTGTTTTGATACGTACCCACTCTATTTGTATTTTGGCAAAAGCTTCTAATTAAAAAAACCTCATAACTAACTGACAGATAGAAAACCTTATTTCATACTTTAAATACAAAGGCTGAAGAGGGAATTTATAAGTCATTACATGGGTGCTGTATGAGGCCCAAACTGTCTCCAGAACCTAAACATATCCATTCTTCATGCTTTGACAAAGAGCTGCTATTAAGTACTACCACTTCCAAGGAACTGAATTTCTCCAAAATACTTCTCAGGAATAAAATGGATAAGACAGAGGTATTTCTTTGTACACATGTTTAGTAATTACTGCCGAGCAACACCATTCACTTTTACAATTACAACTTGAGGATAATTCTTACCTTAAGTACATTCTAGCAAATGTTACCTTGCCCACAGCTTGAAAAATCGGTAACTCTGACTACCATTTCCAACCAAGTTTCTTTTTGATTTTTGTTTCCATAAACAAAAGCAAGTCACATTCAGCACCTGCATATCTCATCACAAACAAGGGTATAATTCTACTTTCACTGAGGGCCTCAATATTCCCTTTGTTTTCTGTCAAACTGTTTGGTTTTGGTTTTTTTTACGATACTAGTTAGCATCCTACAGAACAGTTCCTGTGCAAGCCAGCATTTCTGACTTTCAACTATGATAATTAATGCTTATAGTTTACATTGTATTTCTTAAGTAACAAATGGTTTAGACAAGTTAATGACTTTTGATAAGACTACAGTTTATAGGTAAAGGAAGATTTCTAACTGGGAAACCTGCAAAGTTTTTACTTCTCTCCAAATATTGCAGGTGCACGTTAGGTACAAAATTAAGGTAGATTAGTGCTCCTTAACGCCAGTTGCCCAGGCTATGAAAGAATCCATACCCTAAATCTTTGCAGGGACCTCAGCAGCAAATACACACCCACCAAGAACTTCTGAAGGCCAGCACAGCAACGAGGAGCGCAATCCCACCGCTTCCATGGATTCACGTCAAGTTTGTGTTACTGCTCAAAGTACTTGTGCGCTTTAACAGTTCTCCCTGGCTCTTTGAGCACGCGACGTTGCCGTTTTATTAATCTTTCCATTAACACCACACACAAATAAGCAAACATGAGAAGTAGCCTCCTTAACGCGCTGTGCCACAAAATCTGCACAGGCCCTCACTCGATATACTGAAATGACCCCTTCTCATAAGAATTCCTAACAAACGCTGTTTTATTTTTTTATGCCTACAGATGCTGAACACCAGCTCCGACACCACACCCCTTCGGCAGCTACCCGCCCAGCACACCAGCGGGCAGGCACGCGCAGGGCAGGGCGGGCCCCCTTGCGCGCCCCGTCCCCCCGGCATCCCCTGGTAGCGCCGCGGCCGGGGCTGCCCGCGCCGCCTCTCCCCGCCCTGCCCGGGTCCCTCGGCGGGGCTCAGCCGCGACGCCACACGCCACCGCCTGGACGCGCCCGTTCTGTGCAGCCCCCGCGCCTGGCCTGGCACGGAGCAGTAACCCCTGGTCCCGGGGCGGCCCGCGGGCGCTCACCTGTGGTACTGCGCCTGGAGGAACTGGAACTCTTCCTTGATGCGGTCCAGCGACTCCGGGATAGTGAATTTGAAAGGCTGTCCCGCAGCCTGGTGCGAGGTCTGGCGCGGTGGCGGCCGGCACAGGAGAGAGATGCACGTTCAGTCAGAGTGCGGCTGCCCCGCGGGGAGGAGGGGGCGGCACTTTCCACCGCGGCCGGGCCGGAGGGATGGAGGGAGCACCCAGCCTGCCCCCGCCCCGGGGCGCTGCGCACTGGTTACCCACCTTCCCATCCCTCATATGTGAAGCAGGGGTCGAGCTTAACCGCGCTCCTGGAGCCGCTTCGGCTCCGACCCACCCGCTCCTGCCGCCGCCGTCTACACCAAAGCGGGGCGTGCCCGCTCCTCACCGCCGACCCTGCTGCGGAGGCACAGCCAGCCCCATCCCGGGGGCCGCGTTCGGCGGATGCTGCCCGGCCCGGCGGCGATTCCCTGCCGCCATTACCAGGACAAGTAAGTTGCCCACGAAACAAGAAGGGGAGTGGGCACGTCCCGTTCCCGGCCGCTCCTGCAGGCAGGATGCGCCGCTCCTCTTAGGAGGGGATGAACTTGTGAGGGCGCCTTCTACACAAATCCCTACCTCCAGCCGGACTAGGGAGCCGAAGTTACGCCCCGGACCGTCCGGCTCTCGCCCCGCGCCCTCGCCCCGCGGAGCGGCGGCCCGGGCCGTACTTACGGGGTGCCGGCTCTGGGGGAACATGGCTCCGGCCGCGGCGGGGCTCCCTCGCAGCGCAGTTCTCGCGGCGAGATTCCCCGCCTGCCCCGGCTTCACACCTGGTGCGCCGAGGGGACAGGGGCGGCGACACCCGCCGGCCCCCTTCCCTCTGCCGCCGCGGGCAGGAGTGGGGCGAGGCGCCGCTCAGTACCCCCGCCGCGGGAACATCCTCAGGCCGCGGCGTCCTTTGTTGTTGTCGTTCTCGGGAAGGCTGGGGGTTGCCGGGAGAGGCGGACGGGCCGCGCTCGGGACAGTCACCACCGCTCCGCGCTCCTTCGGCGGCGCTTCGACCGGCGGGCGGCGCCCGCAGCGCCCGGGTACGGCGGGACGGGACCTTACGAGGCTGGAGGGGGGCCGCAGCCGCCCCGCTGCGGGAGCGAATAATCCGCCTCACGGACTCACAAGTGGCCGATGAGACTGTAAGCCCGGAAACCCCAGAGCGGAGGCGACCCCTCTCCCCACTTCTGCCCCTTGTCAAAAGGGGAAAATCCAGCCAGAGGAAGCGGGACGCAGTGTCAGCGGCGGGACCGTCGCAAGCCAAGAGGGACAGAAAAAGTCTCCGGGGAGGGACGCGCTGCTCCCGGGCGTCGACGCAGAGGCCAGGTCATCGGCACCACAGAGAGCGATGAACAAGGGAGAAAGGCAGGAGGTGGAGGAAGGGGGCGGGCGGGGGCTCCGCACAGCCGTTCCCGATCGGAGCAGCTCCAGTAGGACATGCACGAAACGCGGGAGGGCAAAGGAAGGGATACCACACACGCAGCACAGGCTCTTCCGTTGGTTGCAGACAAGTCCCTAGGACAAAAGGAAAACAAACCCCTCAAGATGCCCGCTGGCCCGATCGTCCAAGGAAACAACCCCGTCCGGGGAAGAAAAAAAAATAAAAGAAGGAAAAAAAAGATGGAAGCGTCCGTATTAGGGCTAAATCAGACGGGAAGCTCGTTCGTGTAACGGCACCAATGCAGCCTTCTTCGGGCGGCAGCGCATCTGGGAGCTGCGCGCCTCATGAGAGCCCGACGAGCGCGGTACATCGCGGCGACATCATCAGTAGCATCATCCTCATCTTCCCCCTCTTCCGCGCTGCCCTGCAGCTCCTCGCCGACCCGGAATAAAGTTCTCGCCGGCTGAAAAAAATCTCAACCCGAGCGGACGGGAACGCCACCGGCTTCTTTCCCTCCGTCCCCTCCGCGCCAGCGGAAGGCAATGCGCGGGCGAGGCAGGAGAGCAGCGCGGCTCTGCGCGCACCGCTTACATTAGCACGCGGTTTCACACTCCGCCGGCTACCCAGCCCACGGCCCCGCCCACGCCGCGGCGCGGAGGGCCATCCGCCCAATCGCCGGCCCCGTCGCCAACGTGGGCCCGTGACGGGACGCGGCGCCGCGGGCCAATGGCGAGAGCCAGAGTCCCGCCGCCTCTCGGCTTTGGCTGGAAGCCGTTTTCTGGCGGAGCGGCGGGAGCGCTCCGCGCTGGCCAATGGGAGGGCGCGGGGCGCGCGGCGCTGCGGGGGGCGGGGAAGGTCGGCGGGAAGGAGAGTGGAGAGGCCGAGCTGTCCATCAAGGTAACGTGGGGGACCCGCGCGGGTGGGGCTACCGGCGGGCCGTGGGCGCGGCGCCTGCGCGCGCCTGGCCTGTGCTGGTGATGGGGTCGCTGCCGTGTGAGCGGAGCCGCCCCGCGCCCCGCGGGGGTTCCGCGCGGCGATGGTCCCGCGCATTCCCAGCCCGGCCCGCGTCCAGCGGCGTCCTGTGCCTTCAGGGAAGGCGCCGAGCCGCCCCGTCCCCGGAACCCGCGCGGTCCTCGGGGCGGGCACGCGGCCCCGCCTCGTTCCCCGGCGACATCGGCGGCGCTGTGGCACCTGCCGAGTGCGCCGCGGAAAACGCCGGGAGGAAGGATGAAGCCTTGCGCGTGCTTGCGTGGCTCGGGGCATGGCAGGTGGAAATGACCCTCTGGTCGAACTGAAGTTGTCCTTCTGGCTGCTTCCTAAGGAGGCCCGACAGAGGAAAGCTGTCAAGAACTTGGCTGTTGTAAATGGTATATAGGCCCACTTGAGATAGATGAGGATCGAACAAATTCCACAGACTGTGTGTGATTGTTGAGGAGATGACAAATGGTCACACTGCTTGCAGTGGAAAGTAAACTCCAAAGCATATCCTTTGTTAGCGAGCACCTTATTCATAGCAGATTTCCACAATGAAGTGTGGAATACTGGTACCCTTGGACTTAAAACAGTGCCTTAAGATGTACTTGTGCTGTTAGTGTATTGTGTGCTACCTAAAAAGAGGTCTTAAAATGTTGAATCGCATCATTTAAATGCAGTAAGGGTAATGTTATAATCTGCATTTTCTTGCAATTGCCCACTAATGTTTACTACATACAGGTTACTTACTTAGAATTGTATCTTAATAAAAGAGCAGTCTGTGTTTAAAATTTGATAGGAAATTTGATGTTTTCCAATATCAAGGTACAGCTTTACCCATTCAGAGTGATAATTTCCATACTAGAGTATTCCCAGTTTTACATGGAAACAACAAAAAAGAAAAAAGAATGAAACTGCCTCAGTCTTCTGCAGTGAAAAGTTTGAACTTCATTCCAGGACTGTGGAGTTTTGACAGTGAGCACTGATGTCTCAGTGCACGTGTCTGCGTGTGTGTATATGTCTACATATAATGATGTCTGTACCTATGGGTGTACATATCTGTGTGTGTTTGTGTTTGTATGTATGATGAATATGTGCATACCTCTTTGGGAACAATAAATAAATATGTGGGCTTTTAATGGTTTTTAAGAGATGAGGCAAAATACCCTTGATAGTGACCTTTGATAGTTTGTGGTTCCCAGGACAGGAATGTAAACTTATCTGGTGTTCCGCCTCCATTAGCAAAGCTAAAAATCTTGCATTCTGTTCCCAGCTCTTCCTTTGTTGTCTTGGACAAGCCAGCTCAGTGCTCTGTTCATGGCAATGGAAAACTTAATTACTTAATTAAGTACTTAGATCTTCAGATGAAAGATGCCATAAAAATGCAAACTATGATTATATACTTTGTGTGTGTACCTAGTAGCTATGGAGTCTGCAATAATGTGACACTTACCTAACTTTCCCTGTACTTTGCTTAACCTGCTTGCACAAGTTGTTAATGAGATATTGACAGATATGACATTAAAACAACAGTGTGTTTTGAAACACAAGCTTTTTCTTTTTTTTTTTTAAATTGCTCACTACATGAAAATTTAAATGTCTTGTAACCTGTATGTGTCAACATTAAAATGTCCAAGGCATGTTTTAAAAGAAATAAAAAACTCTGTTTTCCTGATTTTTATTGGCAAGTGCTTTTAACCTACTTAGATTCTGGAATCAGACACTTAAAAGCATTTTGAATCTTACCCATTGTAATTGCGATAGAAGAGCTGTACAAGCAGGAGCAAAATCAAATGTGATTTTTTTTTTTCAAATAAGAACCACTGATATTATTTAGTATAAATAATAACCAACATGATCTAATATTTAACTTATTTATAATGCATCATCATTGGCTGATTAGAGCCCAAGAATTTCCTTTTTTTTAGATGGGTACAAATCTGGATTAATTCCAGAAAACTAAACGTCCTCATTCCATGGCGGTACTCACTATTTACACCACAGAAAGGCAGGGCAAAATATGGCTAAGCATGTTGTAAAGAGATGTGTTCAACTGAAGGTAGCATTTTATACCAGATCGTTATGCCACAGTACTGTACATACTCTACACAATTCTCAAACTGGGATAAAAATAATTCTTTTTAAACCTCTGTCTGATGTTTTAAAAGTACAATAAAAAGATTGCCTTCAGTATTTAACCCCCAATCATTCTGTTGAATCATCCATTTAACTCTGTTGTTTAAAATCAGTTGGTATTTACTGTAAACATTTTAGTGTGGTGTTCCCACCTCATATAGGAAAGGGCCTAATCCTACATTGGCTATGTACTGAAAACTCGCTCTGGAAGCAGTTGGAGCTTTGAGTGAAAAAAAAACAAAACCACATTGGTTCCAAAATGTAGGTTAAATGTACTGAAAGGGTTTCAGATGTAGTGTCTGTTCTTTAGGTAAATGATGTTCTGTTTAATGTAGTATATTTTTTTTCCTTTCACTGTTCAAGTACTATTTACAAGCAATATTTTTTAACTTCTTGCAAACTGGCACATATAACAAAAATGTTGATGATGTTAATCACTAGGAGCTGCAGGTGGGCGGTAAACGATTTAGCAAATATGTGAGTTGTCCCACTGCTGTACTCCCTGTGTTGTGAGAGCAAGTCAATGGAGAAAAGAATTCTAGAATTCAATAGATGTTATGCTTTCAAAGTTTTAGATTGAGAGACCATTGGATTTTCAGCTGAAAAAGTAACATGCATAAATGCATGGGGAGTGGGGGTTGTTTTATTTGGTTTTGTTTTGGTTTTGTGTTGGTTTTGATTTTTTGGGGTTTTTTTTAATGGCAGTATGGCACAGGTGAAATAGAGAAAAAAATGGTACCTGAATCATACAGTACATGTGGTATAGCAGGAACTATCTATACAGCTGAAAGAATAATAATTATTATGAGGGCATGCAAAACAATATCACTTTTAAAATATTTCTTTATTCATGAAGTGCAAATGATGTGAGCAGGGTAAAGCAATTACATTTCTAATTATTTGCTGTCTTTTGGCTAATAGCATCAGCATACTGTCTTTGTAATTTGATTTCTTTTTAATTAGTAGCTTTCTTTGTAGGCAAGAATGTTCAAAAAGTTGCACTAGGTCATTTTACCATCCTGACTGTATTCCCTTCCCCCATTCTTTCACCCTTAAAAATTCCCTGAGTTGAATTAAAAAAACGGAGTCAGTAGCAGATTGTGTGGCAGTAAAACCTCAAAATAAAATCAGATCCAAAGAATCCCTTTCAGTTTCTCACAATATGGTAAAATTAGAGATTGCAGGAAACCAACAAAATTAAACTAGGAACACTTGAAGAATGGCGTTATGAAAATGACACATTGACTGGCTAGTGTGTTTTTTTATCGACAATTTCTTTGTTGAGGCATAGATCAAAGAAACCTGCATATGTTTTCATTTTGTTCTAAGTCTAACTAGAAAATTACATCCAGATGTTTAATAGGTATTCTGTTGGTTTTTCTGCATTGATTAGATATGTTGGTACTGTTTGCTTACAAGTGTAGACGGATCATTAGCTAATGCAAAGAAATGTTTGTAGCGAGTTGCTAATTAGGTCTTTTGGAAACTCTCCATACTAAGGAACAATTTGTACAGTGGCCAGAAAAACTTGCGGTACTTGAGAAGTCGCTTTCCTTCTGTGTCTGGGAAAAAACAGTCAGTTGCTTTCCCTAATCTTCTTTTGCCTACAGGGATTGCAGCTTGATCCCAGTGGGTTGAAGGGCAAATAAATTAGGAAGAGACCACACATGTGCACGTGCGCACACGCACACTCCCCACACACACTCCCCCCCATCTTTTCCTTCAGTTAAAATGCAGTTGTACAATCTTACAAAAGGCTAGCCAAAATGGAGCGCTTAAAACTAAAACGTGTTAAATTCTCAACATTCATGTTATCAAATACAGAGCATTTTTGAGCATACTTTAGAGACAGATGGGGAAGCCCTTTATGATAAATGAGTGTACTTGAATTCATTACTGCGGTACTTGTAATTAAAGGAGCTCTTTCTCAACTTCACTACTTGTACAGGCTACTTCAAGACAAAGCTTGGGGAAAGTGTATACGTGGATGACAGAGGGATGAAAGAGGCGCAGAACTCTAATCATCTGTGTTCTGTTAAGTCCCAAAAGAGGTCAGATATATTACCTGTTTACAATATTGTCAGAGACATTGTTGTAGACTTCATGGCTCTGGCCTGATAACATTCTAGGTGCAACCTCACCTTTCAAAGGATGCTTGACAATGTCAGTGACCTTTCTAATAAAGATCACTTGCCCATGTATCACACTTCATTCTGTAGCAGAATGAGGCCTCCACCACAGGAGGGGACAGCAGAAGGAGCAATGTGTGTATATTTTGTACAGTAAATGGGGGTGCATGCTCATACCAGCTCCTTGATCCTGTCATCACATACATAACAAAGTTTTACTCCTAGAAATAGTCCCTTTGAAGTCCGTGACAATACTTGCTTGTAAAAGGATATCTTTGTGTCAGACTTCAGCACATCAGGGCCACGCATACATAATAGTAGGCTGTGTGTGACATACATATGCAAAACACATGT